CGGTGGAGTTGAACCATATTTCTTATGCCATAGTCAAATTAATTTTCTAAATGTTGTTTCGAAAGTATTCAGGTGCTAGGAGAATATTTTATGTAATGTAACAAAAACGAAAAACCCCTATTGTGTGCAGATGCAAACATGACGTTTAACAGACGCGTTTAGTGAAACAAATACTAGAAATATTAGATTATGTAATAATGTCTTAATAAATCTATTTTTACTTGCACAAGCGGCTTGCATTTTTTTCTATTTACCTTACCTTTCCTATCACTGCAGACTGCAACATGAGATCCGCCAAATTTATTAAAAACGAACTTGATGCAATCTCACAAGCAATCGCAGACTCAGTCTTTTAATTGAAATCCAAAATTATATTACGTAGGTACATCCCAATGTTTTGGGAAGTGCCTCAGTATTACACTGTAGGGCTAGCAGGACAAAATGAAAATAATCTTTATTTAATATTACACTTGAAATCGTCTCATTGTAGTTTAAACTCTACCGCTCATTCGTAAGGCAGATTCCAAAATCTTTATGCGTCCAACTATACGGTGGGAACATCACGATCACGAATTAAAATCAATACGACTATAGCAAACGAAGGGAATAAGCACAAAAAGCTAAATAAATAGGTAAGATTTCTGTAGGATGAACGCTTTAGATTTTGGTTCTCTTCTTCTTCTTTTAAATGTTATGGCCTCATCGAAATAATCAATGATTTTGCCAATATAAAGTAAAAATAACTATGTACCTATGGTAGTTTAGTATTATTATAAAAATTATACAAAAAAAATGGCGATTTGGTTCTCAATTATAAAAAAAAGGGTAATCTAATTCTACGTTTGAAACATCAATAATTACATAATGATTACTTTTTAATTCTGAAGGATTTTTTTTTGACAAAATATACAGGTGAACCATAATATTTTAGCTGCTGGTTAAAGCTCAGAGCTTAGGCTCAGAGAATTTTATTTTACCCAGGGGCTATAGGTACTATACCTACGTGATACCTACATATGGGCAAGCTTGGTGCTTAAAACATTGTTTTCCGGTTTTGAGTTGTGTCGCAAGCGCTCTTTATACCTTAGACTATGGAATTTATTAATTTATATTAATTCTTTTATTTTTTTCCATCCTCTAAGCTTTATACTAACGACGGCAAAATTTATGTAAAAACCAGTATGTAGCTTTCCTTTCTTTTTTTCCATCCTCTAAGATGTAGCTACTTGAACTACAAAATCCCGCCATTTTTTGTGATTTTGAATTATTTTAGTTTATAATTACGTTTCGAGTTTCCGAAATATATATTTTTTTTGAAGATGATGGCTCTATGTACAAAGCTCAATAAACAACTCAGTGTATCAAAAGAACGAAACGCAATTTTGACATATTTTTAGATGTACAATTTATAATCTGTAGTTTATCGATTTCGTACGTACGCTACGAGCGTTTTTGTTGATTTATTTTGTTTAATTTTATTTAATTTACTCAAAATGGTGCAAGCGTGGTACATGGATAATGACACGATACGCGACCAGCGTTTAGAACACCACAAGAACCCTCCGGAATACATTTCACTCGAAGATTTATACAAGAAAACCGGAGTGGAATATTTCAAAGTAAGTTTTTGCGTAATCTTTAATTGGTTTAGTTTTCATCTCGAACTCTTGAGAATTGTTGATAAGGTAGGACGGTTGATGATAACCCTGAGAAATGATATTGTAGACTATATTTTACAAACATACTGCCGTTATTGTTAAACAATATATTGATAATAAAGACGCGCCGGCTTTTCGTGTCTTAATACAAAAAAAAACTAACTTGACTTTCTTTAATGTAATAAATAAGCCTAATTAACCGTTTCAAACTAAATAATTTGTAAATATATCCACAATTTTCTCACGTATTGGTTAGTTTTATAATATGTTCAATATAATAAAAAGTATTAAAATTTGAAGTTTTTTTATAACGTATTAAAGCAGTCCTGAAAAAAACTAGACAAAACACCACCAGGTTGAAAAAAAATTGGATCTGTGACAAACTGAAACATGTTTTTCTCTGTGACCAATTGAAACATGTTTTCTCTGCATAGCAAAACAAACCTATGGCTAGCTGTAGTAGTATTTACTGCTAAAAGGAGTCTATATGATCTGACTCCCACTTTTCGAGGTATATCTGTCTCTCTTACCGACAGCCTAGATCTCACATTTCACAGAATATTGAGCGCAACCCTTAACTTTGGTGCTTATATTGAATGTAAGGCACAAATTGCAGCCAAAAAACAGGGTATCCTTAACAAGGTTAAGCGATATTTCACGCCTAGACAGCTCTTAACTTTATACAAAGCATAAGTCTGATCTTGCATGGAGTACTGCAGTCACCTGTGGGATGGCACAACAAAGTATCAACTTGAGGCTCTTGATTCGATTGAGCGCAGAGCCAGAAGACTTATTGGCGATGTTAAGTGCACAATTTAGCCCACCGGCGCAAAGTTGCCCGTCTGCCGATTTTTTACAGAATATATTTCGGTGTGTGCCCATGAGCTCCATCAGCTCATCCCGCCCACCCCCTTTTACCATCGAACATCCAGACGTATCGCGGGATATCATCCTACTTGGTTGATATTCTATTACTCAATACTAAGGGCTTTTTATCATCTTTTATTATGCGCACAGCCCAGGAATGGAATTCCCTGCCTGCATCTGTATTTCCGAATACATATAACCTGGGTATCTTTAAGGTGCAACTGAATAGGCATCTTCTGGGCACGCTCGTTCCATCGTAGATTCTATCTTTGCCCCAGAGGTAGGTAGTGGTCAAGAGCAAGCCGCATCAATTTTTTTTTTTTAATTTATATATACCAGCCACTGTATGGCTAGGTATCTGGGTTGAGGCCAACTGGATGGAAGGAATTTTTCTTTGTGCCCGATTTTTATATTAATAATTATAACAATTAGTAGAGTCATTTCACAAAAATAATTGAATACCATGTCATGGTAGTAAAACATTGTGATATTTGGTAAACTAATAATCACCACCCTCCTCTCTTCAAATTCTAGCTAAATCTGGCAACATATACAACTGATGGAGTCTTGGAAAATCTAAAGAAAGACCGTGGTTACACCTACGAAGATGAAATGGTTTGCTCTAAGGAGTGCCTGCCTAACTATGAGGAAAAGATCAAATCGTTTTACACTGAACACCTGCATACTGATGAAGAAATCAGGTAGTTATATACAATAGTAAGATTATTTTCTTGCTGCAGACTCGGCTATAAATAATTGGAGCGGGACAATGGTATTGCACACTCCCTCGCACTTACCAGTAAGGTACAGGTAAGTGTGGGCCTATTGTATAAGCACAGGCCTGTGCATTACTGCAGTTGATAAATGCTGTAGATATAACAGTTTTACAAAATCAAAAAATACGCAATTGACAATTAACTTATAACTAAACATACATTCCCCTAAATATATTTTTAACAATCATAAACAGTAGTGCCATAATAGGCGATTTTTCGCCATTTGGGCTATTTCAGGGGGTTATGCACCGACAAAAAAAAGAGATCGGCAATTTAAGCTACTTAATAAAATGTCTGAGGAATTACAAACTTGGTGGGGATTTTGTGAGGAATGGAGTTGTATATGGAGAATATGGAACAATATCAAATAACTCGTTTGGGGTTTGAGTATTTCTACATGTGGGGAATAGGAACTTTGCTTTCCTTGATTTTTAGGGATTTTAAATAATTAACATTGGCTACGGTGACTTGGGCGAATATAGGTTACTTGGCGCACATAAGTTGGCGTATTAACTTCGGAAAAGTCTGGCAACACTGATTATAAAGCAAGGAAGCAAATAAAGTGTGGTAGGTACACACAACAAAGCAAACATATGCAGTACTGTCTGTATCCCGAGCTATAACAATGCACATACAGGCAACGCGCTGTGCACGGAAACGATCGTCCTAAAAAATTTCTTTCTTTATTACTGATAACAAAAAAGACATACATTAAACTTTAATTAAATTTACATATTGTCTGAATCGAGATTATTTTCTTTATTACAGGTTCGTCCTGGACGGATCAGGTTACTTCGACGTCCGCGATGGTAGTGACCAGTGGATCCGGATCGCTGTCACTGCAGGAGACATGATCGTTATCCCAAGCGGCATTTATCATCGCTTCACGCTTGATACTAAGGCTAGTTGCTGTACTACAATTACTGACTTGTGAAAGGCTGTGCAGGCAATAATATTTTTGAAATTGCTCCACTAGTTTGTTATAATTATTAATACAAAGATCGAACACTCAGAAAAAATTATTTCGATCCGGCCGAATTCGAACCGACGTCTTCTGGCATACCGTGTCAGACGCTATACCAACTAAGCCACGGTACGAACCAGAGGACCTCACGAATTTTTCTATGTGCTTGTCTTGTATCTTTGTATTTGGTTTTTCAACAACGTGGGTTAGTTAGTATAGCGTCTGGCACGGTATGCTAGAAGACGTCGGATCGAAGGAATTTTTTCGATCTTTGTATTAATATTTTTTTATTTATAAAAAATATTTGTACAGAGAAAAACTATAAATTGCACGATAAATTGAGTAATAGTTGTGCAAACTAATTTTTGAATGCTAATTATCCAAACTTGGTACAAACCTGTTTCTTGGCAATCATTGCCCGCCCACATACTTGGCTGTGAGCTATTTAGGTAAAAATTACAAAACATTGGGCACTGGTACAAAAAAGGAGCAAGGTTTAATTTTTTTTAAATTCTTATCTTTAATAAGGCCTGTAACACTTGGATGTCAATGTCGGCCTTGTGATGTCAATCGCTCTGGATTATTCTACTATATCGTGTCGCCTAGTAGTGAGAGACAAGACCTCACATACGAGTATAGAGTTTTAGCCCTCTTAACCAAGGGGTCACCCAACACAAGATATCCAGATATAATTTTATACACAAAATTTTACTAATTTCACTTATAGTTAAACATTAAAGAAATAAAACTATGAGTCAGCAACAGCATGGATAATTTTTATAATAAATATCAAAGAAAATAAATCTATACCTGCCGCGTAAATTGTTGTAAGCCACGAAATAGCAAAATTTTTTAATTTTGTACTTTTTAAATTAAATAAGCACTTTTTTATTCATTTTATAGGTATACATGTTTAAAAGTAAAGACATCACTTAGTCTTGTTATATTTACTTTCAAACATGGAACCTGTAATATACATAAAAAGATATATATATTTAAGTCATTGACTTACAAATAAATGGACGACGGGTCTAATACAAAAACCACGAAAAAAATGTCCCAAGTCAACCTATTTAAACGTAGTGACACGTAAAGGAATATCAAAAAGCTAAAACGTTGAATTTAAATTGTAATGTCATCGCAGTACTGTCTAATTTTGCTTGCTTCGCTGTCAGTCGATCAAACGAAGACTAAAGCGTGAATGACGCTCTGTATACGATTTTAACGCCCTGTAAGTTCGGACACTTTTTAGCGCGGACCCGACGTCCATATAATTGTAAGCCAATGATTTAAGTAAAAAAGCAAAAAATGCTATTTTGTGGCTTACAACAATTTACTTGTATCGAAATATCTTAATAATTTCGAATCCTGCTTCGAACAGACTGCATAACCAGATCTGTCTATCAAGTTACAAATACACCTGAACTCATCGAGTATATAACCAGAAATAGAGACTAAATAAGGGCCATCCATCCCTGGCAACTCATCAGACAAATGGTACTGATATCACTTTTAAATGTCAACTCTCGTTTGCGCTGAAATCACAAATTAGAAAGCTGAAATAGTACAGCGCCAACAACTGACCTGTGTGTATGTCTCAGTATATTCCAAAAATATTCAGTATGTATTGTAATAAAGATAATATCGCTAACAATGGGGGCTCTTCCATTCGGTGGTGTGGGAAAACCAGCAAAAGAAAAAAGCTGAATCTGATTTCATCGGTAATTCCAATTAAATATGTATATTTTCAATTTTCGTCTATTATAGCAAAGCTCAAGTTAAACTGGTCGTTTTGAACTGAAACAATTGACGACGCCCGTCAATTGTTTCGAATTCGGCTGGTCAATCGGAGCGCAGTTGTCGCCGTAATGATTTAGCAGAATAGTTTTCAAACAAATTAAATTACATTTCGTCTCTATTTCTGGTTATGTACTCGATGGCCAGAACTCCTTTAAAGCCTAGATTATGTTGTTCACGTGAAAAATTCAGATTTCATTATTAGGTAGTTTAATATTGTAATAGATTACCTAGTTCTCTAAGTTTACGAAACAGGCCCAAAGTGCAAATATGTGTTTACTAAAGTCGGGGACAGATTGAAAACCAGTGCTGAGTGACTTCTGTCTCTCAGTGAATGCTGAGACTGTCTACCACACACAAATCATTTAGTTTTCTTTTTATATTTATATTCTATACATAATCTTGTTTCCTCTTATTCAGTATTTTATGTGTATAGAAATATAAATAAAAAAATAACTATTCTATATTGACATGCCGTTTTCACCTATAAAAAATATTTAATAATTGAATGTGGGTTACACCACTATTACGCTGATAGCCTGACAATTAGTGTGCTTAAAAACTCATTTTGCAATTACAGAACTTCATCCGCGCGAAGCGCTTCTTTATCGGAGAGCCGGTATGGCTTCCATACAACCGTCCGGCCGACGACATACCTGCCCGACGTAACTACGTGCAACGGCTGCAGGAGGGTTTCGTAACCGCTGCTTGCTAACACGATAAAATCGCCATTCTTTTAAAAAGCAACTCTTATTTTTAAGTTTTAATGTGTTTTAAAACTCACAGTCAATAAAATCGAGCCACTTACAAAATTAGGAATTTGTTTCTCGTTCTATAGTCTATTTCAATCCATTACACAGAAAAAGTAAACTAACAGGTCACTAACCCGGCCATAGACAGTTTAGTGATGGCCAGTTGTGCTGGCAACTACAATCAGAATTGAATCAGTTAACAGACCTTTTTGCGAACAAAAAATATGTGATTCTATACTGAATGGTGATATTTTCATAAATAGGATTATAAAAATATCTCTACTGATCGTAGTAAACTCCGCAGATTGACCATCGTGAACATAAGTGGTAGAAAGTGGAGTGTATCAAAAAGCTTCATGGATATGAAACGTTAAATTTATTATTAGTTTTGTATTAAAAATTCCAAAATGAATGATTGAAACAAAGTATATACATTTTCAGTAACATTATTTATTATGTACAATAATGAATTATTACCAAAGTAACTTTAAAATGTACAGTATGCTGCTTTATTATTATCTGTGAGTAAATATGTGATGTATATAAGCCATTTATTATTAGATAGTAGAGGCGAAGGGTCCATTAGACGATTCCCACCGGGGTGCCTATTAGTAGAATTAAAAAATTCTACAGTAGGTATTAAATGTCTTGTATTGCAACATTTGCTGTGTACCTTTTTCATACATAGGCATATATTCTTCAAATATCCTCCCTTCGCCACGTTTAAACGTACGTAATAATAATATATACAAAGGAAACTTAACAATATATTCGTGAACATATTTAGAGGAACACTAAAATAAGATTGAATTATGATAGACAACGTTCATATGAAACACTGGCCACATATACCAGAACATTTAATCGAAATAAAAAAACAATTGAAGTGATTCTTTTATGACCGTCAGAATGGCTGGTCTCCTGTCGCATCTGGCACTGAGTGTATATTCAAGAACTTTTGATATATTCTGAGAAATTAAAAAGTAATTGACCAGCCATTCTGACGTCAGGATGGCTGGTCTCCACTTTGTTCATCATGAAGGGAGCAGATACTTACATACTTCAGGAAAACTGAAATCTGAAAATTCCTGAATATATACTCAGTGCTAGATGCGACAGGCGACCAGCCATCCTGAGGGTCACGATTCTTTTTTCAAATTAAACGTTCTATTTCATGTGGCTAGGGGTTCATATTTATTTCTTTATTTGCAAATTTTACAGCTTTTTTAATCCGATTTTTATTTTTAACTCACAAATTCCTTAGCCATTTACAAAGTTTATCATTTAAACAATTCATTTCACGTTACAATAAAACTGAAATAATTTGATGCCAAAGTGAAATAACTATAACATATCTCTAATTGCAAGGACAGTATGCACGTGTGTGTGTTTCGTTTGTGCAAGTGTGTGAGCATTCATGAATTATATATATGGGTGTGTATGTGTGTGTATACTCGGTTTAATTATTATTACCTTTAAATTGGGGGTGTTTATTTAAAGAATTAATTAATTTACTGTGGTTCATACAAAATCTATCCTCGTACGTACGCACAATTCTATGCAAAACAGAGTGCTTTGCGTAGTTGAACTTCGTTATCATAATACAACCTTTTTTAGCGTTCCTCTAAATATGCCCATGAGTGTATAAGCGAAATAAATAACACACTTGAAAAACCTAAAGTTTGCTCAAAACTTGAAATGTTATTGCCTGAGAAGTAAAATGTTATAAGATGGTGTTTAAATTAATTCAATTGTGCAAGATCATAACGCTTAAGTCAACATTTTATTTCACATGGATTATAAAATAAAAATACCAAAAAGAATAATAAAATATTGATGTGCTAGACAACCACACCTTAGGGCCTTACCATGAACTCTTATTACGATTCCAGTTTAGGACCTAAAATGAATCGTCGTGAGACGGCGCTACATGAAGTGTATATCACCATCACGCTTTTTTCTCGTTACGAACCTATACTGAACTGTAATAAGAGTTCATGGTAAGGCCCCTGGTCTCAAACTGGGGATTTCTCTTTACTATGAGTACTGAGCAACGGAATTCACTCCGGGGCATTATCCGAAAACACCCAGACCAGAACTATCAGCGCCCACAGTGCAATCCGTTAGACCACACAGTTTAAACATGTCAAATAGATCTATCGTTCAGCCACTGAAGATTGTGGAGTACATAGCGCTCAAAATCGTGCCATACTGGTAAAGAACACCCTAAAAATCGTAACTTTTGTGTGTATAATAAGTCCACATGTGACAATACGCTAAAATTGCTTTTCTGCCGCTGTTAGTAACCTTACTTACTTCTGCCGCCACGCCGTAATGTGAGCATTACTGCGTTCCGGTTTTGAAGTGTAAGCGTACTGGTGAAATTACTGGCACATGCATTGACTTACAAATAAATGGACGACGGGTCTAATACAAAAACCACGAAAAAACTGTCCCAAAGGAAATGAAACTATTTTTCCGGATTTAAATCGCGTATATTTGTTTTTTCAAACAAACCGACGTTTCGTTTTCAGTCAACCGTGACCATGGGACCTGTAAAGGGCCCGAAACGTCGGTTTGTTTGAAAAAACAAATGTACGCGATTTAAATCCGGAAAAATAGTTTCATTTCCTATGTGTAACAGTCGCGAAAACCTAAGAACTTGATAAACTGTCCCAAGTCAACCTATTAAAACGTAGTGACATGTAAAGGAATATGAAAAAGCTAAAACGTTGAATTTTAATTGTAATGTCATCGCAGTACTGTCTAATTTTGCTTGCTTCGCTGTCAGTCGAACAAACGAAGACTAAAGCGTGAATGACGCTCTGTATACGATTTTAACGCCCTATAAGTTCGGACACTTTTAATTGTAAGTCAATGGACACATGAGACTTGTCAACTTATGTCTCAGGGTGACGGGCGTAGTGGCAGTGCCCTTCAGATCTTTGCGATTTAACCCGTCACCCGTCAGCCCTCCGAGAGACACGAAAAAAGCTCTCATTATTTACTTTTTGCTACAATTAATTTTACAAGCTCACCAACATCTAAAATTAATGAAAATAATGTTCCAATCACCGCCTACGAAAGGTCACCGTGGGTTAGTAGGATGCTTGTACTACCAAAAGGTTACGGATCCGCGTAGGTCCGTTTGACGCGTCATTTAAACTCTGAGCGGTACTGCAACTGTCATGGACTGGCGTGTCGTTTACCGCCAGGCGCAAGAATTGTTCGTCTCGTCTAGAGGTGGGTGATAAATAACGTCACGATGAAAAAAATCACATTGATCAGCCGTCAAATAGTATCACCGTAACTTTTTACGAAGGAACGACGTTCCAAAATCACATATGTTGTTCCTCCGTTCCACTAGCCGTCAACGTCGCTCACGTCACGGGATACGACGTATTTTACAAACAAAATCATGCGCGATCTCCGTTCTGTAAGAGACTGGCGACTGCGCTACTCATTGTAGTTCGCTTTTATTTTTGAATTCTAATTATGAACCGAGAAATAATTAGATCAGTGTAAATACCGTGTAACATTATAAATACAAGTAAGATTAAACAGCATTGTTCCAAAATAACAAAAACGCCGCGTGATCTTATTAACGAATAATGCGACAAGCAAGATCCTGTAAAACTGAATCAATTTTCAAACGAAAATAAATTTTACATCAAAGTGACGATTAATAATGACTACTAGAAGAGTAGGCGCTTGCCAAAACCGTTTATCGTGACGTAAGTGACAGGCGTGACAAAACCACGGTGATTTGTCACTGCGATTTTTTTGTAACTGGAACGATAGTAACGGTGATCGAAATGTAACGCTTTTCCGCATGTCTAGTTCCATCACCTGTAGCGCTAGCACTAGAGAGCGCGACTTGTGCGAGAGCAACATATAGCGCGAGATACTGCTATTCTCGCATAGAGTTCTCGTGCTATATGTCGCTCTCGCGCACGTCACGCCCTGTCATGCTAAAGCGCAGGCCACACCGCGAACGAAGTTAAGATTACTTACTTACTACCAACAGCTTCTTACATTTAATAAAAACAGGAACCTAAACATAAAGCCAATTACAGGTTTCCACCTAGCTTTATATAACAACATGCACTTACATAAATATAACAACCCACTACCTGCACTAATCACAAATTGTTCAATAAAATTAAATAAAATGTCAACATTACAATTGAATATATCAACTTCCAGATCATGATTGCTCAGCACACTGCAAGCTCGTGCTAGCTCTACTTAGAAAACTATTTTGTCTATAGTTAGTCCTCGCTAAGGGAACTGCACTGAGGTGGTAGTGTCTCGTCGAACAAGTAGGTACATTAAACGAAATGTCACCCAGTAAGTCAAAGCAGTCAACATTACCATTTATAATGTTTAGAATAATTTGTAAATATGCACGTATCCATAGTCACTTAGTATTTTCTTAGCTTAGCCATTGACTTACAATTATATGGACGTCGGGACCGCGCTAAAAAGTGTCCGAACTTATAGGGCGTTAAAATCGTATACAGAGCGTCATTCACGCTTTAGTCTTCGTTTGTTCGACTGACAGCGAAGCAAGCAAAATCAGACAGTACTGCGACGACATTACAATTTAAATTCAACGTTTTAGCTTTTTCATATTCCTTTACATGTCACTACGTTTAAATAGGTTGACTTGGGAAATTTTTTTCGTGGTTTTTGTATTAGACCCGTCGTCCATTTATTTGTAAGTCAATGAGCTTAGCTGACATAGTTGGTTGCGTGCAATTACGTGAGCTGAGCTAAGTAAGTTAGCTTCGTTCTCGATGTGGCCTGCGCTTAATACCTTTGGTATCATAAAACAAAGTTTAAGATAGGCTTAAGTAATGCCTGTTCTCTTTGGTACATCATGTTCCACAACAAATTTTTCCACCTTAATTGTACCTTGCGTAACTAACGTAATTAGCATATTTAATTCACCTTTTTATAACACTCAGATTTTTATACAGATTTATATTATTGTTACAATTATTTTAAAGGTATAATAATTATACTCATTTATACATTGTTATATAAATATAATGGTTTTCGTAAAATAGAACGTTTTATTTCCCAACCTACTGGATTTTATATTTAATAAAACTTTAATTTACACATTAAAAAATAATTTTGTTTTTTTACTTATTTGATACAAAATATAAGGTGAGTTATTTTAATTCATATTACGCAAAAGCCATGCAAGAAAGTTTAAGTTTTAACTTGGGTAATATGCTATTTACGAGATAAAATAAATATAAAACCTGTGCGTCGGTGACGGTTCACAATATTCTTCATCTGCCAAGCTGACAACTCCTGTCAGTAGTTTATCTGTTACATTTAGTTAAGGAAGTTGAACCTCGAAAATGCAGTGAATTGCACGTTCATTATTTTATCAAAAATTACTTAAATGCTACGAAAACATAAATAATCAACCTTATGGCTGAATAACCGTTAAAAATGCTCATCAAATAATATAAAAAATGGAGTCAATAGTAAATGTAAATTTTATAATATAAGGACTATGCTGCTACCAATATACCACTATGCCAACGTACAGTTACTATGCCGATTATATATTGGCGCTTACTTACAATGTCCATAAACGCAACAAAAGTTCTAGTGATGGAAACGAAACTTCGACAAATGCTATGTGCGACACCAAAAAAATAGTCGTCACCAAACCTACTGCCAAAGCCAGTGATGATGTACGTACCTACCCACATGAGCCAGTAAATATGTAATAATTTCCTGTACCATAATTATGTGTCCAAATGTGTGTCAATTTTTCATTAACTACGCTTGGCAAACTAAAGTAGGTACAGTACAGGAGACGCTTCTGCACAAACCTGTCATATTTTAGTTTTATATTAGCTGTACCCCACTTGCTACTAAATTGTGCTGACGATTATCGATTTCATAATTCATTTATTTGTGAAAGAGTTCGTCTAGGGTGGAAGTACTGCCACCTTACCTATTTCTGCCTCTGGTTTTTTAAGGGTAAGGGTTCTGCTAAAATTATAGGCACTTGCGGCTTGTCAACTTATGCCTCAGGGTAACAGGCACAGTGGCAGTGCTCCTCAGATCCATGTGATTTAAAGGTCTGAGTGGCACCGCAATTGTTATGGACAGACGTGTCACTTAGCACCAGACATGGACTTGTTCGTCCCGTTACTTAATATCATATGCAAAATAGGCGATTTTTCGTCGAGTTGCGGACACCAGCCCATTGCGCCAAGTATTACAAAGTACTTGGTATGATAAAAAAAAATATGTTTCAAAATAAGACTAAGTAGGCGTATAAACATTGAAGGTATATCGAGTTCTTAGATTTTCGCGACTGACTGACTGACTATGTGTAAACATAGGAAATGAAACTTATTTTCCGGATTTAAATCGCGTATATTTGCTTTTTAAAACAAACCATCGTTTCGGGGCCTTTACAGGTCCCATGAACACTGGTGTCAACCGTTTTCCGTAACCGGAAAAATAGTTTCATTTTCTACATTGAAGGTATAATGTTACATATTTATTCACATGCACCTCAACAAACTAAACTACACACAAATAACTGCCCCCGTGGTGGAACGGTTATCATGCCGGACTGCCACGCAGATGTTTCGGGTTCGATTCCCGGGCCGGGAGAAGTATTTGTATATTTATTTCTCACGTGAGGTTTGGTGTAATTTGTGGTAGTCTTTGTGTGTGTCCATGGCACCCGCGATACAGGGTTTTCCTACGGCAAAAGAAAAGTAGATACATTTTAATTTCATTTCTTTAAACACTAGCGTCTCGGTTTTGAGTTTTTGTCACAAGCACCCTTTCAACTAAGGGTCGAAACACAAAACTGCGAATCGGCGAGATGCGAATTCGTGCGGCAAGGCTTCTCACTGCCATGGTTTGGATAACCCTTCCTTTGACGATAAAAGTACTGAACGTATTTTTCAAACTAGGTAGCGACATGGATCTTAAAAAGAGTGTTGCACTGCTGTTATTGATAAGAAAGTATAGGGGGGAAAAGAACAAAGAAGTTTAACATCGCAGAAAAGCGCGATGTTGAGCAATTCGCAAATTCTTGCTATGCGTCATGGGAGATCGTAGATTTCTGTGTCGTCGTTTTGTGTTTCGACCCTATTCGCGGCAATTTTTATGTTTTGTATAGTGATGTAATCACTCTGGAGTTGGGTCCTTTGCCTAATTACCATGACAATTTGTATTATTTCAATATTCAATTATGGTATCGTGTAATATTAATAAATATGTATAACATTATACTCGAATACTTAAGTAATAAAAATTTCCATCGAAATTAAATAGTGAAAACTAACCCGAGAAGATCGAAATAATGCATTGTCTGTCGTCAAAATTGTGACTTACGACCGTTAATTAGTGTTGTAAGGTTAAAGATATGTTTGTAACCATGGTCGTGACAGAAATCGTTGAAATTCATTGAAGTACCGTCCATTTCTGTTAAAATGGATCATATAACCCATTACTTACGGTTTTGTTTCAGCGTAGGTTCAACCACCGGCACCTAAATCCGACAAAGGCATGGCTGAAGGTATCATAACCTTTGCGCTATGGTACATTGTTATCGCTTACAATTATTGGAGGTACGTACTTTTCATTTTATTGACTAAGTACTAACCGTTTAAACTCTTTGGATTAGGTACGTCAATTTTCTAAAAAGATCATTAGTATTTTTATTGAATTCAATGACGGTAATCGCATCGTTTTTTGATAGTATAATAAGACTCCTGTCTGTTCGGGGCGCGTCTACTATTTCGAAACATCAGGATTAGAAGGTGGAATTAAACTAGAAGTCATATCAAAACATATTTTTATTGCTATATTTTCAATCAAAGTTATACTTTTTAACAGCTTAAATACACAAGTTAGTTAGTTAGTTAGTACACAAGGAATTTTATACACAGTTAAACAAATACAATGTGCTGAGTAATAACAATCTTTTCTATGTTTATAATTAACTATTAATTCATAATTAATTTATTTGTGAAAACAAAGGTTATATTTATTGAAGTTAACATATACACCATACCCTAATCATTTAAACAATTACTTAGTTGTTCAGAAAAAATGAACCCTGCTTGTCGTGGGTACTCGAGACTTTGTTGGGTAGAGTTTTCGAACTTGAGTTCTTTTTAGACTCGAGTCCGTGCTCCGATGAGTCACGCTTGACTCTACTTAGACTCGCGAGTGTTTTAGGCCACTGAGCCGTGAAAAATTAAGTAGACTCCCGGTCTTAAATTTTTATACACTAGTTAGTAGTAGTACATATTATTATTTTAGTTGTACTACAGGTTGCAAAACGTAATTAAAAGAAAAAGTATTCATCACAGTCATTTTTGCGATAGCTAGTGACGGGACGAACTAGTTGTGCGCCACCTTACGCTTACCACCGTAAGCGTCACGCCTGTCCATAACAGTTGCAGTGCCGCTCAGAGGGCACTGCCACTACGTCTGTCATCCTGAGACATAAGTTGAAAAGTCTCGTATGCCTGTAATTTCACTAAATCCGGAACGCAGTAATGCTCGCATTACTTATTGGCGGCAGAAATGGGTAAGGAGCTCTACTGCTACAAAAAAATAATTTCTCCTAAGAAATTACCTTGTCATATGCATTACTTAATGTTGCTATTTTTATACCGGGATCGCAGATTGGTATCCATCATGAAATAGAAATTAAATGCAAGTTTGTAGGGATGACCTCATTTATTAATGCAGAATCGGCAAAGCAGCGTTCGAAGTAATAATTATTATCGATAATTATTTTGAAAGTATGCCCTGCATCTTTTATAAAATGTATTTGTGGCAACAAAACGCTACCGCTAGCAATGTCGTGCCATGTGTTTGTATCAAAGACGTATATAAACGTATCAAATCAAATCATTTTATTTGTGGTTGTACAATAAAGATGTCAACATACATTATTTTATGATCGCCTTGACGTAACAAGAGTAAAAATTATACGTATCATTTGTATTCGGAATGGTTGACAAATTTGTCAAATTAATCACTTTATTTTACGTGTCATAAAAGTTAATTAAGAATGAAAACTATTCTCCTTATCATATCGATGGCATACACTATAATGCTTGCCATTTGCCATTCGGCGTAAGGTATTCACCGATTGTTGCCCAGAATCGCCAGACGTATAGGAAAGGGATGGCATCTGCGTCGTACGGAGAAGCTCCTTTGGTGTACCCCGAAACAAAATTTAATCGACAATTATAGAATACCATAAATCTGCCGTCCACTGACTACAACGAGGCTAAGTGTAAATTGTCAAATATCCGTTTTATATGTATAGCAAAAAAAAAAAGTAGAGCACAAAATTGTCTTTTAAAAACCGGTAAAATTAATTACGTGTTCGATTTATCGGAACTTACCATAACGATGCATGGCTGAAATATCATTCAACAATTTCAATATTCTAAAATTGTCAATACACAGCGAGAAATTTGTCATATAATAAATTCTTTAAGGGAGACCTCAGTCTGTATCAGAATATGCTTACAAATTACAAGTGATAGCGAAATTCGTTATAGTATAATGCCCAGTGTTACTGTTTTAAATTTTTAACAGTCTTCAAAAAAAGGAGGAGATTCTGAATTCAACTGTTTTTTTTTATATGTATATTACGCGATAACTGCGACATTTGTGAACCGATTTCAACAATTCTTTTTTTGTTAGAAAGAGGGTACTTCAAGAGTCGTCCCATTTCAATTTGAAGAAAATGTTACACCTCTGAGGGTGGCAAAGTAGGGGATGAATGATTTTTGAGGTCGGTATTATATTTTAGTACTCTGTACTGAGATTATCAAAGCAGTAAAGCTCCTTGTGAAAGAGTTACCTATTGCTGCCACCGGACAGTAATGTGACTATTACGTGTTCCGGTTTTAGCTAGTGAAATTATAGGTACTAGGACCTTGTCAATTTGTCTCAGGGTGATGGGCGCAGTGACGGTGCCCCTCAGATTGTGATTTATAGCTGTTACCGGCGCTGAAACTGTTATGGATAGACCTGTCGCTTACCACCAGGCGAACGACTTGTTCGTCCCGTCGCTTCCGTCGTCCACCGTCACTAAATAAAAATAATCGTTAAAATTTGCAAACAACGAAATTTTACTAAATTATCGACAGTATGTTCACTATTACAATACACACTGACTATTTTCTCAAATTATAGCAAATTGTTGAGGATGATCTCAGAATATGATTACAAATTACGATTACCATTGACTGCTGAAACTGTAATATGATAATGGCCAGTGTTGATATTCTTTTAATTAACGGCACTTTATATAAAAAAAAAATTCATCACACTTGTTCGTAAATGGTATGATTGCGTGGTGGCTAAATTGACCATAATGCCCCTAACAAAACCCTCGGGCCTTTTTTCTTTCCATTTTCCAAACAAATTTACTATTTCTTTTTGTAATTGATTTTAACTATTTTCTGCAAAAAATTAGCAATTGTTTTGCAATCATCGTGGCTGGATGCGTATTTGCTTTTTACAACATTTAATATCCATGACAGAATTTAAAAAAAATCCCACCATTTGTTGTAAACCATATTTAAATTGTATTTATTTTCTCGCAAATATGATGAAAAACATTGTATGTATCACGGACGGTAAAAAAATACAAAACTCGGGCTATTAAAGCCCTCAGTCTTTGGCTTCGGGCTTCTAATAGGCCTTCGTTGGTCATTTCTTATTTACCGTCCTTGTTGCATAATGTATGTACTAAACTTCGAATAATATAAGAGGATTTTTCAATTAAAATAGAACATAATAATTTATTTCATATTATCAGTGCCACAATATTACAATTTAAAATATAACATCATGAGATAACATATGATCGTCACTAATATAAACATTAAACTAAACAATATTAAAAAATAACACAAAGTAATGTCGAAATACAACGATAACAAATAAAAATAAGATCACAATATCTACAAAACAAATCCCTTCCACAATTTTTTTAACGGGACCGTCGTTGTGCCGCCCCAGTCGTCCGTAGAATACATTATCGAATAAAAAGAGTTTTAAACTATAAAGCCGGGTATAAAAACGTTTCGTCGTTTTTAAAATGATAATTGATTTGTTCACCTTGAACATTTCGTACATCTCACTGATGGGCACGAATCTCCTCTCAGGAGAGGCGAGAAACACACGATTTAATTCCGCCTTTCCATCACCGGGGGATTAGGCATAGGCTTGGGTTCCACCCCTATGTTGTGGATATTCCAAAGATTCTAACGAAGCGTTACGCTTCCACATTTATATGGCGAACAGATATGAAGTGGAATTCCCTGCCTGCAGACTTGTTCCTTGAACGTTACAACTTGGGCCTTTTCAAGGCGAGAGTGAATAGGCACTATCCAGGTGTGCATGCTCCATCGTCGACCTCATCGTCACTTTCCATCAGGTGAGATGGAGGTCAAATGCGTACCCACAGTCCAAATTGGGAACATTACACGTTTTCCAAGGGTTGTGAACCTTCTTCGACGTGCAAGTTTCAGCACGATGTTTTCCTTCGCCGAAAAGCGCATAGTAAATTTCAAATTACATTTCGCACGTAAATTCCGAAAAACTCAGAGGTGCGAGACTGGATTCGAGCCTACGGCCTCAGCTTGAGAGGCGGTAGGTCAAACCATTAGATTGTCACGGCTGTTCGCCCTAAATTGGTATTTTATGAAATGTCTTTGAATTTTAACATTAGCAATGACACAATGAAGATTATGAGGTATACAAAACGAGTCAACACAGTTGAAATTTCTTTTGATACTAACTTATTTTTCGTATATCATAAGCATTACATTTCCGAACAAAACATGCTTTAGGCAAATTAAGTTTAATATTATGAATTTGTATTTCTCAATTTTTGTAACCCACAACGCCGCCGGCCGCGCTGCCGTCGTCGTGTAAACATTCGCATAAACGTTTACACGAGGAATTACTTAAAAATAAATATTTACCTTGAGAAGGGTATGCCAAGATTTTGTCACTGTCAATTACTTGTCACCGATAGCTGTTTTTTACCACAATTCCGAGGAATTCACAGGAGGATTCATATGAACGTGACAACTTCACCGCTATTTCATGATTTATTTGTTATGTTTGTGAAACGCGGTTTGTTGGGAGATTACGACAAATTACGTTTTTTTTTGTCGAACTGACTGATGCTGATAATCCAGAATATAACATACTTATGATAGACACTACCTGTTCATGATGATAATGTATAGATATTTACTTTCGCGAAGAATAAATCCGTTAGCAATTTGTACAAACTATTATGACAGAACAAAACTCTACTACTTAGCATACACGTACCTAAACGTGTGTGTGTGTATTATGTGTTGCTAATTTTTTCTGTTTTATCCATTGACTTACAATTATATGGACGTCGGGTCCGCGCTAAAAAGTGTCCGCACTTTTAAGGCGCTAAAATCGTATACAGAGCGCGACACTCCGCTTTAGTCTTCATTTGTTCTACCGACAGCGCGATACTGCGATGACATTACAATTTAAATTTCGAATAGGTTGACTTGGGACATTTTTTTCGTGGTTTTTGTATTAG